AAAATAAAATAAAATAAAATAAAATAAAATAAAATAAAATAAATGAAATAAAAAATAAATAGTTATTATAGTTTGGGGCATGTATATGGTTGAAAGGGTTCTTTTTATTTTTTTACTAATATATAACTCATGCAACATCAATTTCATGCTTTTAAAGGTACAGTTCCATAGTTTTTACCATATTTACAGGGTTGTACCATCTCCACTAACACTAGAATGTGTTCTCTTTATTTTGCACAGGGTCTCACTACGCAGCTCAGACTTATAGTGATCCTCCTGATTTCTGCCTCCCCAGTGCTGAGATTACAGGCGTGTGTCACCATGCCCAGACTCCATTGTCGGCTCAGTACTCCCAGGGGCAGGGCCAGTGCAGCATGTGGTGCCAGGGATCAAACCCTGGCCCCTGCGCTTACCTAAGCAAGTACTTAGTCCACTGAGCTATATCACTGGCCCTTAGAATACTTTTGTCATTCCCCAAAGCAACCTCAGGATTTTAACATACATTTCTTAATGTCTACTTCTTAAAACCCTAAGTTAAATACAGTAATTATCACAATGTCTTTTATCAAAGAACCATATAAAAGTCTTATACTCTAGATAATACCACATTTCAGTGGTGAGATATTCAGGTTGATTTGAGAAGATATTTTTGTTCTTATTTTGCACATTCCCACTAGCTTGCCTTTGGAATGGGAGGATACACTGGGTTATAGGTGAGGTCAGTGTAAACAGTGATTTTATCAGTGCAGTGAATCAGACAGAGAAATTACAACTCCCTGGATCAAATAAGTCAAAACAGCACATAAAGTCAAGTAAATGATACTGTCCTTGCGCGCAGACATTACATTACACAAACTGTTCTCTAAGCGAGGGAATTTGTCCCTTCAAAATTGCTCACTGGAACATTTGGACATCATGCATCATGTTAAAGATCCATAAATGTCATCTTGATAGGGTGGCTATGATGCATGATCATATCCTCCCCATATCTGCATAGGGTTCTTCTTCCCAACAGATTGTCATGATGCATAGTGTCGGAGACTCCTGCTCTAGTGCTTCAGAGACAGCCAAGAAGCCCCATGGGAGCCTTCTAACGCCATTGCTGCAAGGACTAAAATACCAAGAGAGCACGAAGTCATTCCTAGGCCTTGACAAAATACCCTCCTCCCTAAATGAAACTATTTGTTATGTGGTTAGTGCAAAGTATGAATCAATGTTTTATGATCGAGTGTTATCTTTTTCTTATAAAAAGTAAGGACCCATTTCTGCTTGTGAGAGGAGCACACTTTAGAATTTAGCGGCACTGCATTTTTCCTGTTACTTTGCCAATCCGGAATTTCTTTGGAAGGATATATGACACAGTAGTTCAGAATATGCACTCTGGTGACAGGCCAACCTGCATAGGGATCCTGGGTGACTCTATTTCACCCATGGCAACACTGGCGGTGTTGAACAGCTGCAAGTTTATTTTCTTGTGTATAAAATGAGACTCTCCAATTACCAACTTCATATATTTGTTGTGTAGGAATAAAATTAAGTCCACATATTCATAGAGCTTATCACAACATCCTTAAGTCTCTTGGAAGTGCTCAATAAACATTGTATATCATCATCCTTCCACTGACGAATATCTGTTTCGTAAGAGCACCACCATAAATTGCCTTAGTCCATTGAGCTGCTAAAACGAAGAAAATAAAAACATAAATGGAGTGCCTTATATACACTATAAATCTATTTTCTACTTTTTCAGAGGTTAAATGTCCAAGAGAAGACATTGGCAGATTTGGGGCCCGGGAGATGGCTCAGTGGAATAAGCGCTTCCCTAGCAAGTGCAATGGCCTGAGTTCAATCCCCAGTTCCACCAAAAAACAACAAAAAAAAAACATTGGCAGATTTGATGTATGGTGCCAGTGCATTCCTCATAGACCTCCCCTTCTCAGTTTGCTTACAGAGTTGGAGGCAATGTCACCCTCTGGTCGCTTTTATAAGGACACTTGTGCCAAAAATCACTTGCCAAAACCCCTACTTCCTGTAACTATTCTCTTAGAGGTTAGAATGTCTTTTCTATGATTATCTGGTCTTTAAGATTTCAACCTATGAATTTAAGGGAAACCCATATTGTCAGGCCATAACATAGAGCAAACATCAGCAACACTGTACCCCAAACAATGTCACGTACCTCACAAGTGTCTTTACTTGTTTTCTGTATCAGAATGTCTCATCTTCCAATTTGCTCTTAACTACTTCACACAGGCACTTCGTGCAGAAATCACACCTCTTAAAGAGAACGTGAACCATGTCAACGACCTTGCTCGCCAGCTGACCACGTTGGGCATTCAGCTCTCCCCATATAACCTCAGCACTCTGGAAGACCTCAACACCAGATGGAAGCTTCTGCAGGTAGGTACACTCTGACCTCTGTGGCTCCTTGTTTTAAGAAAGTCACATGGGGCCAGGGAGAGAACTCAGTAGAACAAGCACTTGCTTGGCAAGGTCAGGGGCCTGAGTTTAATCCCTAGTTCCACCAAAAAAAAAAAAAAAAGTCATATGCACATAGCTGTGTGTAACAGCTTTGATTACTGTCCACAATAATGTTTGGTGATGGTGGAATATTTCATATTATTTGATAAGGTCAGTTTGTAAATTTTTCAAATTAATATCAGTTTTGAAAATTATTGAAGTTAAAATTTATGTTTGTAGGAAACAGGGAAGGTAATGCCAAATCATGATGGAAGAACTGAATTGCTAGCAGACAATCCTTTTGCACTCTTTTTTTTTCGGAACCAGGGATTAAACTCAGATCCTTGCGTTTGCCAGTCAAGCACTTATCCTACTGAGCCATCTCCCCAGCCCCTATTATTTGTAATATTAAAATATCTTTCCTTTTAAGATCTTAAACAAGACCCAATAGTAAGATGTGTTCTCAAGTCATTTTTCTTAAAAAGCATCCTATGATAAACCCACTCTGGAAGTTTTTTCATAGGTTTGTGTAATAAATTCAGGGAATATAAGTGTGTTCAAGGTCACTTACTGGCTGTGAAACCTTAGGGAAAACAATTGGGATAATAAAATTCTCTACAGTATCAGGTTATTAAAAAGATGACTAAGTCACAGTAAATGTGAAGGTCTTGGAACAGACCTTGCTCCATATCAAATACTGTATAAATTTTAATTCTTGTTGTTATTACAATTAAGATTATTATTCTAGACCACAGGTTTTAGAATCTGACTTATTAGCTGAATAACTTTGAGACTATTTAACTTATTTAGATGTCAGGGCCCTCATCATTATAGAGCTGCTATAATGTTGAATGAAATAATTCATGTGAAGTTCTTAGTATAGCCCTTGGCTTATGGTAAAAACTCAAAAATGGTTGTACTGTGGCAGAAGTATATATCTGAGTATTCCCTGTGTGAGATACGCTGTGTCATACCTCCAAACTATAAAAGTG